TTTTAAAACGTGTATACTTCGTAGTTGAATGATATCATTACTAAATTATAGACCTTGAACTTTAGATGAAAGTTCGGATAATTTTATGTTGATCTTACAATTTGCCAATGGCGGTAACCTTCGAGAACATTTAAAAAGAAAACAAAGTGAAGACATTTATACAATATTATGGGATGACCTCATCAAGATTGCAATAGAAATTACACATGGATTAAAACACTTGCATGACAAAAATATAATTCATAGAGATCTAGTTAGTTTATTTCTTTTAATGTACAGTTCAGCACTCTAAATTCTGCATAAACTTAACTATTTTAAATTTTTTACACAACCTCCAGCATTCTATGAATATTTTGATACATGAAGGCAAGGTCATGATTACAGATTTCGGTTTATCAAAACAATTAGATGGTCACACTTCTACTTCAAGCTCTGGTGTGAAAGGCATAGCAGCATATATAGGGTGGGAAGAAAGTTAAACGCGATAAAAAGTCCGACATTTATAGCTTGGGCGTACTGTTTTGGGAACTTACGAGCGGAATCCCACCATTTGATGGGCTTAATGATGTTGAAATAGTTTTTAAAATAGCAAGTAACGAAAGAGAAAAAATTATTATTAATACACCTTCAGATTATGTTAATCTCTTCGAAAAATGTTGGTCGTCTGAACCAGATCTGCGTCCGATATTGGACGACGTTTTGCCTGAACTCGTGAGATTATCAAAAGAAAGACCTATAAAATTTATTACAAATATTATTGGCGATAAAAGAATTACGGAGTCATTATCCAAAACTTTGGAAAACTTAAATTCTTCGAGTGATAGTGGTCGACAATGCATTTTTCGCGAAAATGTTCCCTCAATTTCTGAAAATGTAAATACCTCAATACACACGGGGAACTTAGTTCTTTCGAACGATAATGAAAATATCCGTACATTATCTGAAGATACAAATACTTCTAGAGAATTATTTGAAGGGGAAATTTTTCATGAACATATTTATTTTATTGAATATAAGAAATTTACAGACCCTGCAGAGATTGGATTCGGACGTCTTGGAAAGGTTTTTAAATACGAGTGGAAAGACAGTAAGTTAACGGTTGCTCTTAAATGTCTTAGAATCGACATAAGTTTGGACGAACAAGATCTCAAAGATTTTATTAATAAGGTATATTAAGACTTTAATTGCTTTCTCTTATAGTATAATGAATTATATATTAAATTCTTATAATTCAATTAGCTCAAACTATTACGAAGGGTTTCTGAACATCAAAATATTATTGCATTCTACGGTGTCACAAGAGGTATAAAAAACCGTAATTCTTGATTTTAAATAAAAAAATATTTATCTAATGCAAATAATAGATAACAATGGAGATTATTATATGGTTTTGCAATATGCTAATGAAGGAACTCTACGAGAATACCTTAAAATAAAATTTAGCCAATTGAAATGGACAGATAAACTACGTATTGCCAAGGAAATAGCACTTGGACTATTATTCTTACATGATAATAATATTATTCATAGAGACCTTGTAAGTGCTATATATTTTACTTGATTTTATATATATTAATTCACTAATAATCTATTCATTTAGCATTCGAAGAATGTCTTCATTCATCAAAAAAACCCCAAAATTGCAGACTTTGGACTGCCAATGAAGATAGATGAGATTCATGGAATGCCGGCATACATCGAACCCCAACGTTTTATTGACAACAAATACAAACTTAATAAGAAATCTGACGTCTATAGCCTTGGTATAATTCTTTGGGAAATTTCAAGTGGAATACAACCATTCTCATCATTCAAAACAGAAGTTTTACTTGTTAATCATATTTTAAAGGGTAACAGAGAAACGTCAATAGATGGCACACCGTTTCAATATATTGAACTTTACGAAAAATGTTGGGATCATGTTCCAATTAATCGTCCAGAAACAAAATTAATTCTTAATGATTTGGAACAACTTATTCTTGATATGG